TAGGGCTGATCAGAAGGTTTTCATAAGTTATTCAGAATCAGAAAGCATTGCTAGATCAACATTTGGGGGTAAATATGAACAAAACTCTGGTGTTACAATGTTGTAAAATATCCATTATGTTCTACAATGTCCCAATTTTCAGCCATAAACTAAAATGAACAAGTTATTAACTGAATGAACAGGCTGCAATTAATGCTGTAAGAAGACAGCATCTTAGGCAGCCTCAAGCTCATCTTAAAATCAGACAGTTAACCCATTCCTTATAGAACTGCCACCCCACCAAGAACTTCTGTGCCAGTTGTTTATTTTCATCTGGAAATTTATGTCCCAGTGTCTAGGTTCTCCTACAGAAATTTTGAAGTTTGGAGTGCCATAATTGCAGTTAGGAAGTCATGTGCTGCATGGGATCCAGATGTTTGCTCTCACTTTAGCCCTTTTGGTGAGAAGACACTTGCACCTTCTCAGCTCTCGAACTACAGTATTTTGTCAGTGGGAAAAGTGAATCTCCCACAAGGCACTGTATCGATCGAGATTGCTATTTGCAATGCGGTTGCACAAGTCTCAGGGACATGCGTTAGGTAACGCCTATGACATCACTGGTGATGAATCACACAAATCCCACCCTTCGCACAGAAGTGATTTTTCAAAGACAGCCACACCACTAACAGAACGCTTAAATTAGTTGGTTGTTGTTGGTAGTACAGGAAGAATGCTCCCATTGGTTCTCAAAAGAGAAAGCCAGTCAAATGTGGCAGGGCCAAACAAGACATAGGTTGGTAGACCTGACTTTTAGATGCAGGACTGCCCCAATATAAAGGAGTAGGATTTTAAGAGCCAAAGGAAGGCATGGATGTGGAAGAGTGACAAACCTTTCCTTTGCTTGCATCTCAACCTCATTGCAACACAGGCACTTTTCTCAATGAGGTTTAAGAGACTGGCCAATCAGGAGAAACAGCAGAGATTACTCTGCTGCAGTTTTGACTGTGGAGTCCTGAGTTCAAGCTACATGCCACTTCCACACATAAAGATTACCTTGGCTATTTTCAGAATGACCTTACACAATACATTTTTTTGCAGCTGACTGCACAGAGCTTTTGATTTCATAAAACTGTATTCATATCTTTAAAAAAAAGTGAGGCAGAGTAGATGATATATTTATATCCGATATTGATATTCCTTCAAGAATTCCTTCAGTCTTGTTGGCAAAGGAAGTTCCTGGATCTCATTAGTGTATCTGTTTATAGCTACCCTACAGCAGTGCTGTAGAGATGAAGTTGAATGACAGAGAGGTTTATTCAAATACAGGTGGACTGTTCCATTGGAAGGCATTTCAGACGCAGTTCTTCTGTCCTTGCACATAAGAACGTAATATTCAATCAGGTGGACCACACTGTCAAACTGCCGGAGCCTTGACCGAACACAGATAATGGAATCCAGTCGGAATTTGCCATCTTGAAATTCTATGCGTAGGTTGGTAGGTCCGACTGACGTTTTTACTGAAATAGTAAGCAGGTACTCAGAGTGCGAGCTGTCTCTGACCAAGAAGGTCCCTTCAGATGTATCTTGTAATCTCTCCTTGGCTTCGACAACACTCAAGTTACCCCAGTACCATCCTGATAAGAGGAGGAAAACAAAGTTACTCAAGTAGATTCCACTAGAAGGACCCCCATCTCTTTCCAGTCACTGCTGAACCAAACACTTACTGGGTGGACCTGAACAACTCGCTGTCTCTCACTCTTAGTGAAAGGGGCCTGTCTCAAAGACAAGAACAATTTTCCTCTGCAGTCCTGCATGTCTCTACCTGAGAATAAGTCCCATTCAACACTGAGGGGCTTACTTGAGTCAGCAGTGTGCACAGAATTGGTCTGCTCAAGTGCTATAACAAGTGACAGAAGTACTTAAGCTCATGCTATCCTGCAATGTGTCTTATTTGATTAACAGTAACTTTAACCCCAAAGTACCCCAACAAAGTTCTGGTGCCTGAAACTATATGCAGAGATCACAACAGCAAAGCACAATATAATCTTTACAGATGCAGACATACTTACAGCCAAAGATTCTTCTTTACTTGGGCAAAACAAATCAGGGATGGGGAAACCATCCCTTTCAGGTAATAACTTCCCACATCTTCAATCTTTTTTTAAAAACTAAAGAGAATATTTTGCTGTCTAGCTTTTGTAGGAAAACTGTTTTCTTTGTTTGCACAAATTCCCATGACAAGGCAGTAAAATTCTAATCACTGCCCTCTTGAAAAGCCTTTCCTGGAAGAAATGTAGGACATAATAAGCTGAAAGACTTTAAGCGAATATTCTGTCCATGTGAGAGATTCTGCTCCATAACTACACTGAACAAATTAAACTGTTTTCTGCTCAAGACACAGTTCTGTTTCCCCAGAAAGTCTCCAGCGACTCTCGATTCACAGAGAAGGCTGCCCAACAAGTTAAAAGACAGCCTTTGAGAGGCACCGTTATCCTTGAAGCAATCCTAATACACGACACCCCGCATGATACACGTCTGTAACCCGAGGTACCACTGTAATCCACACTTATTCACGCCTCCCAATCCGAAACGTGAAAGCCAAGACACAACGAAGTTGTGGCACACCACTATATAAGTTTCTTTAACGCTTAGAAAGGGAGTGTGTGGATTTTTCGTTTTCTTCTCCTTCGCAAAGCCTCGCCCTGAGATCGCTATACATGATGGGTGGTTTTTTACCTTCCTCCGCTCGTTATTTTAGGTCGCGATTGATCGGAACGAAAACAGCGACGCAGCTTTCGAGGGAGCCTCCTCAATGGCAAAGGGGGGAGGAGGGGGAAGCATTCAGGCTTGCGGGGTATTTTTGACTCGCATCTCGAGCCAAAGCTCTTGCTCTTCCTCCCCCGACGCGCGGCCCCCGAAGTTGCGCGTCCCATTTCCCGATCCTACAGAACGCGCGCAGATGTCGCGCTCGTCCCCTCGGGTACCCGGTCCATGTCCGCTTTTCCTCCCAGCCCTTCCCACGCTACAGCCCCGAAGGCACTGGCTGGGAAGGAGGCGAGGAGCCCCTCCGGTTCCCACAGCCGCCCAAGTCCCCTCTTTGTATCTGGCCATTGTTCGGGGAGCGCAGCAAAAGCAGAAACCCCCAGCCTTTTCCTCTTTGGTCACCCCGGGGCAACCCCGGAGCGACCTTCACCCCGCCAAGGCCACGATTGCTCCCAATCGGACTTACCTGCGAGCCTCAATTCCCGCATGGCGAACTCCAGGCGCTCCTCCTCGGAAGGCTCCGCCGCCACTGCTGCTGCTCCGGCAGCCTCCCACTGGGCCCAGTCCTGTCGGTGCCATCCGAGGATTCGTCCGTGCGCAGGGTCATTTGGGGGATCGAGATTTGGGAGAGGGGGAGGGCGAGCGAGCGAGCGAGCTAGGAGCGCCGTGCCCCGGCCCCGAGGCCCCGGCGGCTGCCCCAGCCCATCCGGATCCCGGCCGCCAGCAACCTGCAACCCTGCGGGAGAGAAAAAAGAGCCGGTGGCCGCTTAGGAGCGCTCCTGCGGAATCCCGCTAGGCTGGGGCGCCTTGCAGAGCATCCACTGCAAGGAGAGCGAGCGCAAGAGGTCCTTCCCGCTTCGCCCTGATTTCCTCGCAGGGGAGGCGGCTCTCCCGCCTTCGGGCAAGGACTAGAGAAGGTGGGGAAGGGCCCCTCGCCGGTTTCCACCTGGGCCAGACCCGGGACAGCGCGATCGGGCTCCCTCTGGCTGGCCTCAAGGTGGAGCGCCTTCTCCTCGCTTTCCAGGCAGCCAGGCGCGCGGGCTGCTGTCGAGGAAACACGCGGTGGGCGGCCCCGGGGGCGAGCCGGGGGGGGGGCCGCGCGCACTCCGGAAAACTCTTACCTCCGCCTGCAAGCGCCGCATGGATTCCCCGCCCGGCCGCCCCGCTGCCCCCTCCTCGCACTGGCCGAAGGCGCTTGCAGGAGCTCGCCTTTGTTTTTGGAACCCGGGAGGCCAACGCAGCCCTCGCCCGCCAGCGCGCTCAGCCTCGCTTTTGTTGCAAGAGGGAGAAGCGCGGTGCTGGCTGGGCGGAGACGGATCGGGCAGCAGCAGCAGCGGGCTCTGTCTCTCTCCAGCCCCCCCCCCCCGCAAGCCTGGCTCTCTCGCAGCGGGGGCAGGCAGGCAGGCGAGCGCAGGTTATCCTTCTCTGCAAAAGGCTGTTACTACCAAGGGCAGGAAATCTGCATGTGACGCCGTGACGCCCAGCAAACAATTCCCGGCGGGCTGAAGGGATTTTCTCGCTGGCGCGCGCGCGCGCGCACACGCTACCAACCCCGCCGCCGGGTAGGGGTGACGGGGGGGGGGAGAGGCAGGCATAACGAAGAGGACAGAATGCACGTGGGGAACGCTTCAAACACCCCTCCCCCCTGGACTCGCTGCATATTATTTATTTGCTCTGAATGAATTGGGGCCGGCAGCTTTCAACGGGGGGGGGCGGGGGGGTCTTTGTATGGCTTCTCAGCTCGACGGCAGCTTGCAAACTTCAAAACAAGGAGGCGCGTCGTCGGGAGCGAAGTGGGTGCTCCGCTCCGCCGCCTCCTCCTTGCCCGTCTCCTGCGCCGCCTTCCTTCGCTCCCTCCCTTCCTCGAATGGTAAAAATGCAAAGGCCGCTTTCCAAGAACTTTCCAGGAACCGCGTCACGTGACAGCCCGGCTCCTGCGCCTCGGCTTTCAATGGGGCTCGTCTTGCAGCAGCCGCGGCCGCCGCTCCTTTCTCTCGCGCTCTCCTCACAATAGGAGTGGGAGGGAAGTGGTGCGGTTGCAAAAACAAAACATAAGCGCCTGTCGCCCTGAATAACAGCCTCGTCTGCCCGCCCGCCCGCCCCTGAAAATTGGGGGGGGGGGGTTTGCAATTGCTAGGAAGCAGCCATTTCTTCCGACTGACCGGTTGCCAATGGAAAGGAGTCGATGCTGCAGCTTTTGTTGTTGTTGTTGTCAGAGAGATGTCTGTAGCTATTGAAAGAGAACTGACCGGAGAAACGTGCCAGTGGCCCAATGGGTTAGTGCATCTGGCTGTTAACCAGAAGGTTGGTGGTTCGAGACCACCCGGGGATGGCTGTATTGCAGAGGGTTGGACTAGATGACTTTGGAAGTCCCTTTCAACTGACGATTCTGTGAAATGTGTTGTACGAAACTGGTTGGGCTAGCTGGAGATATGTGACCGTTCCTTCATCGCGGGGAGCTATGCCGAACCTGCGTGTCGATGGCGCGCGAATCTGTTCTGTGTGTACCTGGCAGACGCGTGTACGTACTCTGGTAAGCCACCATTGGCCGCGCAGCTTCGCGTTGCGTGTACACTGCCTTCGCCGAGTAGGTGTGTGCGATTGTGACACGGTGATCGGTTGGGGCTTTTCGTTTGAAAGTGTGCAGTGGCCCAGAGGTGCCGGTTTAAGAGGCAACGAAATCGCTGCTGTTAATGGTCGAATAGGTAATGTGCATTCCTTCAAAATGTGGTAAGCTAGCCGTTGTAGATCCGCTTCTTTCCCCCAGAAGGAATGGGCATGGTGTGCCAATGAGTTTGTACTGGGGAAAATCTATAATCATTTCTAATGATTTGTTCCTGTACATTCACTTGTAAATAAATCCTGTTGAACACAGTGGGGCTTCATTCCAAATAAACATAGGATTTAGGTTGCAAAGTGGCAAAGGAAACAACTGATCCATTCTTCCTAGTGAACAAAATGAAATTGCCCATAAGGGGGGCACTGTGAATAACCAAACATTATTCCACCACCTCACCAAGTTTAGTAAAGCCCACAGAATGAAGGCAATTTGTTTCTGTCTTCTTGGAGAATTTTCCCATGTAATTGGCATTGGGCTTGATACTGCATCATATGCATGAACAGTGAAAACAGGTTCCTACAAACACACCATCACTGTTTCCTTTAAGGATGTGTATTAAGAAAAACCTTTTGGCACCTGCTTGTGGTGGTTTAGATTAGAACCTGTAAAAGACTAGGAACCTGTTTTACTAGTTGGTACTGAATGCAGTGAAATATTGTTAATGAGAGTTCTACTCTATAAATTACTATTAGCCACTGAATAAAAATCAATCAATCAATCAATCAATCAATCTATAGTAAGATAATGCCTTAGGCACTGAAAATAAAACAATGGTGTGCTTAAAGCTTTTTCTTTAACTTTTGTGGCGGCAGGAAAGCAACACAAAAAGTTATTGTGATAGAGATATCACATTTATGAATGTGTGGCATGTTATCCCAAGCAAGACCCAGTCATGTTTATGTGGAATTTGGTCCTAGTGAGATTATTACTATTTATTATTTATTAAATTTTTATATAGCACTGTATCTGTAGATCTTAGGGCAGTTAACAACATAAAAGATGAAAGATACTCTCTCCCTAGTTAAGTGTGTGTAGAGTTGCAGCCTTAAACTGCAGCTCTGAATGGTTGCAAATACAGGGTTCAGACTTAGGGCTACATCATACATTAAGCATTTGGTTCCACTGTATTTTTATTTTTAATAGAAAATCCAGGGTGTTCATCATGCTTTACATCTTTCCCTCCTCAGGCTGGCAGGAGGGTGAAGCCAATGTAATGCTGGCCTTGAATTACATTTGACTTTTATTTTACTTAGAAAGCATAAACCCTACCCTTTCCGTGCAATTTAAATTAAACAATTACAAATAAAGAAGCCCCATGGAGGGAGTAAAACAGCATAACAATGGAAACATTTTAATCCATCAACATAAAACCCATCTGCTTCTAGACAATTTGTTACATGGAAATACAAAAATAAAATCTCTTCACGTTTCTTACTGAGAAAATAATGAAAGAAGTGGGCTCATACCTTTTAAAAATGCAGCACCTAGGCTAATTTTGGGATTTAGGGCCATATAATGCCAATTCTGTGTGAGCTCCTCTGATCTGCATTTGGTTCCTATGCAAGGGGCTGGTTCTTAACTTCGCAATTCAGTACTTTCCATGTTTACTTAGAAGTAAGTCCCACTGTCTTTGAGAGGTTTACTCCCTAATTAAAAGTGTTTATGACTCTTAGTGATCTGGGAAGAGGGTACTTGAGGAAGAGTGTCTTTTTTCATGTGTACCTGCCTCCTTAGAGTGCTATTGCCTATGTCAAAGCAATAAACAACTATTTTACTTTTAAAAGTCATCTGAAGGCAGCCCTCTTTAGGGAAGTTTTTAATGTTTGATGCTGTACTGTTTTTAATATTCAGTTGGAAGCCGCCCAGAGTGGCTGGGGAAACCCAGCCAGATGGGCGGGGTATAAATAAATTATTATTATTATTATTATTATTATTATTATTATTATTATTATTATTATCACAGTTAGTGGCTGCCATAGAGAGGACTTTCTCAGGAATGGCTCTCAGGTTGTTTGAGCCAGTGGCCTCAAGAAAGACCATTTACTAGATTTTAGGACTGTGACTCCTTTATTTTATTATTTTTTTTTTTAATATCTTTTTATTAAGTTCATTTAATCCGTACATCAAGACAAAACAAATACAAAAACACATACATTCCTCAAAATAACACAAAAAGCAAAATAACTAAACAAATAAAAAGACAAAAAAGAGATACATACAACACTAGACACAACGACTTCCTTCCCTACTGATTTCGGATTCATGCTTTCAATGAGATTGTTATTACTGCTGGTATAGATTTTTGGTATAAGCATCGGAAGTTTTATAACACTCCTGCTATAGTTGGTAGGTTTCTAAAATTATCTTCGAAATAAATCATAAATTTGTCCCAGTCCTTTTTTAACTTTGTATTTTTTTTGTCTCTAATTCTTTGCGTCATCCTTGCCAATTCTATAAAATCAAATAATTTTAATTGCCAATCCTTCACCGATGGTGGGTTTGTGCTTTTCCAATTTTGCGCAATTAATATTCTGGCCGCTGCTGTTGAGTATTGAAATAAAATTTTATCTTTTTCTTGGATTTCTTTCCCAACCATCCCTAGTAAGAAGGCTTCTGGGTCTTTGGGGAATGTATATCTCAATATCTTTTTTAACTCATTATATACCTGATCCCAGAATTTTTTTATCTCCTCGCATGTCCACCACATATGCATAAAACTGCCTTCTTTTATTTTACATCTCCAGCATGTCTTATCTGCAGTTTTATACATCCTACTTAATTTTTCTGGCGTCAGGTACCATCTATATACCATCTTTACTAGATTTTCTCTAATTGCGGCGCTCGCCGTGAATTTTAGTCCCTCATTCCACAGTTTTGACCATTTTTTATATTCTATATTATGCCCCAAATCCATCGCCCATTTGACCATAACTTCCTTAATTTCTTCATCCTTGGTCTCCCATTCCAGTAGTATTTTGTACATCTTGGATAATATTTTGGATTTACTTTCAATTATTTCAATCTGAAATTTGGACTTCTTTTCATTCATTCCTATTTTTTTATCTTCTGTCCATTTTGCATTTATTTGATGGTACTGGAGCCAACCCGTCAGGCATCCCTTTATTTCTTCGTACGGTCTTAACCTCCAACTATCTTGGGATTTTACCAATAGATCTTCATATGTCAATTTTGGTTCTTCCATATTTATTTTTTTAATTGATAAAACATTTGTTGGGGATAACCACCAAGGTGTTTTCCATTCTAGTAATTTTTTGTTTCTTACCCAAACTTCGTACAGGGGGCCTCTAATAATGTGATTCGAGAACCCTTTATGTGTCGTTTCTTTATTTGACCAAAGATAGGCATGCCAGCCATGTCTATTGCCGGCCCCCTCCAAGTCTAACAAATCTGTATTGTCCAAAGTTATCCAATCTTTGACCCAGCAAAGACAAGCCGCCTCGTAATATAATTTTAAGTCAGGTACTGCTAGCCCCCCCCTCTCCTTGCAATCTGTGAGTAATTTAAATCTGATCCTTGGCCTCCTTCCCTGCCATATGAATCTCGAGAGGGTTTTCCGCCAGTCCTTAAATATTTTAGTCCCTCTGATGACAGGAATGTTTTGGAATAGAAAAAGCATTCTGGGGAGTATATTCATTTTTATTGCTTCCATCCTGCCCAGCCACGAAAGGTTCACCCTGTTCCAGACATCCAGATCTTTTTTCACTTTATTCCAAGTTGATGTATAATTATCTTCAATTAAATTTATATTTTTGGGTGTTAGCCAAATACCTAAATATTTTATTTTTTTTGCCACTTTAATTCCATACTGACTTTCTAATCCTTCCTTCCCATCATTTCCTATATTCTTCGTCAACATTTTTGTTTTGGTTTTATTTAACTTAAAGCCCGAGACTTTGCCGTATTCCTCCAATATCTCCAGTGCTTTACCCAGGCTTTCTTGCGGTTCTTCAAGGGATAACATCAGGTCGTCCGCGTAAGCCTTTAACTTATACTCTTTAGATCCTATTTTGATCCCTTTTATCTCCGGTTTGGATCTTATTTTATTCGCCAAAATTTCTAGGACCAGAATGAACAAAAGTGGGGAAAGGGGGCAACCCTGCCTCGTTCCCTTTTCTATTTTAAACCTGTTCGTAATGTTATTGTTTATTACCAATTTGGCATATTGATCTAAGTATATTGCCTGTATCCCCTTCAGAAATTCACCCTCGATCCCTGCCTTTTCTATAGATTTTACTAAGAACCGCCATGAGACGTTATCGAACGCCTTTTCTGCGTCTATAAAAATCAGAGACGCCGGTATGTTATTATTAACCTCCAGATGTTCAATTATGTTTACCACATGTCTCACATTGTCCTTCAGGAATCTATTTGGGAGGAAACCCACTTGGTCTTTATGAATTAGGTTTATTAGACATTTTTTCAATCTATTCGCCATGATGTCAGTATATATTTTATAATCGTTATTTAATAGCGATATTGGTCTGTAGTTCTTCATATTCAATTTATCTGTGTCTGGTTTGTGGATCAGTGTTATGAAAGCTTCCTTCCATGACTCGGGAACTTTCCCTCCTCTTAAAATATTATTCATAGTGTCACAGAGAGTTTGTACGAGTTGGTCTCCCAGAACTTTGTAATATTTTGCCGATAAACCGTCTGGGCCTGGTGCCTTACCCAGTTTCATTTTTTTAATT